AAATTTGTCGACCCAATGCACGTTTGAAAAGGGTCGACAAATTTCGCGCGTTATGATTGGCCAACGCGTTGCAAACTCTTGGTGGCGCACTATTGTGAATCGCCCGTATTGGCAGCCGATGCGGTGGAGTTTCGTGGCAGGTGGAATTCAATGAGCGGACGATATGATTAAGTCACGTGTACAACAATACTCTCTTAAAAATGAAATGAAATTAGATTTTAAACAAGCCTGTTCAGCGCTGTCAATATGTTCTGGGGAATTAGAAAGGGTAGGGGCAACTCCCTCTGACCGTCGCATGGCCTCGAAAAACGAAATCAAAACGGGGGAGGGAGGTAGGACTGACAAAAGACCAGGGGGGTCAAGTTCTGAAAACAGGCATAATGTATTCCTCCTTCTACTACCCATGTCCTCCTTTTCTTCCCCTCCCCCCTTTTTTTTTGGGGGGGGGTTCCTTGCATCCTCTCAGCTACGTCCAACGGTTCAAAAATGTTGGCTTTGATATATAGTTATTACCATGGCTTCGGTATATACGCATCAGTTAATCTGTTTATATACGCGATATTAGTTTTACTTGTAACGCCTGTCCAGACTCGTAATTAATGACGGCATTGACAGTTCCGTATTAAGTACACTGTAAACAAAAGACAGATGGTGAATGACAGTTTTCAAGGGGGAGAGGGGTATTAACCTTCCCCAATATTTTGTTACAAGTGTCCCCTTTCCCCCCAAAGTGCGCCTTCTTTCAGTAGCGCCTTTTTTGTCCGTGACTGATGTGTGAAGTACAAAAATTTGGGGATGTAAAGAGCGCCACCTGTGTTTCGATATTGTCCGCTTCGAAAAGTGCCGCCATAAAAAAAAGAATGGTTTCGAGACCCCAGCTTTTGGAATTTAAAGGAGGTCAGGTAACTGATGGACTTGAATCAAGTCGGACTTACGTTGCTCTGCCTTAGTCAGCCATGCCTTCAGCTCGTACGCACTACACGGTCGTCGCGCTCGGCCTGGCAACTCGCACAACCCTCATAAGGCGCCCTCATTTTAGCCTTTATTGTACAACATGTGTCATACGTCACCAGTCAGTATTGTCCGACTTGACGGATAAGCCAATCGGAACACGGATGCTAAGAGCACTTTTCCAGATCCCCCCGTCTATAATGCCTTTTCACGCCCCTGGATAAGGCGGGGTCTCTAACACTGTACATGTCTCTTGGACGATCCCCAGCAGTCGCCTGACTATCACTTCAACTGCGCCTTGCAAAATCATTGGGGAAAAAGTGACTGTAAAAAGCGCACGTCGACATTGGGGAATATACTTCCACGGGGAGGCATGTCATGGCTACGATCGCCTCTGATATGTGTAGGCGACGTGGATTGAAAAAATCTCGCACAACGCAGGAGTCCCTGTGGCGACGGAAACATGAAGGAATAAGAATACTGTACACCCATTGCCCATGGCGAGGCACTGTGTGGATCTTACACCCTTTCATCCACCCATGCGGTTAAGCGATCACTGACCCTATAGGAAATTTATGTCCCATTCCTTTTCAGAAAAATTGCCCATTAATTTTTTTGGGGGGGGGTAGACTGAATGAACAGCGTGTCCACACAATTGAATTCTTTGCAAAAACCTATTATTATTTCAAGACCAACAGTTGCACTCAAGACGTGATGGAAAAATGATGGCACTGGCCCATTCAGTAAAACTTCGACTTGTAAAAAAAAATCGAAGTAAGTGCAACATCGCGGTGTTAAGATGACTAAGTCCGCATTGTGTGTGTGTGTGTCATATTCGTAGATTTGTCATTCTGGGAAAGAGTTGAAAATGTTCTAATTAATCCAAAACGGGCTAGTATGGGCGAATTATACACCTTCCTGATCCTCGAGAACGGACATGGGTGTTTTTGTGACACTGTAACGGTGTCTATGCACTGCATGCTACACACATAAAGGGTCCAGTCCACTAATTCAAGCCCCATTGAAAACAGTGTAAAATCAGCACTTTTCAGGGCCCAATAACATGCTTACCAACATCCCTGAGATTTCAGAAACACAAATGAAATTATTGTCTAGTCCCTAATCTTTCAATTACATTTTCAATTTTTTGTGGGTTAACCAATTACATTTTTAATTATTCCCACAAAACAAAATTACCCCCCAAAAAGTGATTTTTCCGAAGTCCGATTGTAACCATTTTTCAAATGGCAGCCCTCAACTTTCTCGGGCAGTTACGACCATTTTTCAACCGTAGTTTTTAGCCATTCTGCTCTCACATGAAAGCTCAAAGACCCAGGGAGTTCATCCTGGCAACGATTCACACAATCTCACCATTTTGGGGGCCAAACAATCTCCTTTTTCAAAAGATACTGAGGGGGGGCACTTTTAATGCTAATGAGCTGGCCAGAAATTCTCACTTGAATTAGTGGTCTGCACCCATAAACGTTCACCGGGAAAGGTCTTTTTAATGTACAGCGCCCTCTATTTCGTTCCATTCCCCCAAGTTGATGAATTTGATGACCTTCCAAGTCAGGTCCTGGCCTCGTTGTCATATTTGGCAAGAACTTATTTTAATGAGCCTGCCATATTTATGGGGACTGGGGTCACCTAGCCAACAGTTTTACTGTTTTCTTTCTTTTTTCCATTCAATTATTAAAGGTAGTGTACAGCATTGGTAAAAATCACCCAAATCGGACTACGGCATAATCCTGAAATATCTTGAAAGAAAGTACTCATAGCCTCAATCGGTCTGTAAAATATTTCTTCCCACAATGCTGTAGTTTTCGAGAAAACAGAAATTGTTCTCTTTTTTTACGATGGTCGGCCGACCATCGTATAAGAGTTCATTTCGCTTGCAGAATTTGTGGAAGTCTCCATTAATGAACGGGTATAAAGCTAGTAAACAGCCAAAAATATACCGAAAGAAATTTAGCAAAAGCATTGTAAACTGAAATTATAGGAACCTGAGTGTAAGGTGAAAAAGTGGAAAATAAATTGGATCAGTCTGAAGTTAAAATTTATTTAATAAAGGGAAAGGATTTTCTTAGGGCAAAAACTTGCGAATTCAAAATCACCCCCAAAGCATATGGTATGACCCAGATATGGCGGCTGTTTCCGAGCAAAAGGATTTCTACACGTTAAACCTCCCGTGTTCCAAGACATAATTTGTTCTTTGCTTTGAGTTTTCTTTGAGTTATTTAGACTGTTATCGACGTGTAAACTGACCCGAAAGTGTTGTCATTAAGCACGACCATCGATCGCGAGTCGACTCGTGACTGCATTCCTAGATGAAGTTTTTTCATAAATCCGCAATGCGACGACGTTGTCGAAGAGGCGCATAACTCCAAGGTTAATTCACTGGTTATTCTTAGCCGTCGAAAACTGTTCCTTTATGAGGAAATGAGAACCTGTCATGCCTGTTTCCCACCCTGACCCCGTGGATGCTGTTCGCTTACTACGAACGCCCTGTAATCCATAGATTTTAGGCAAGATAAATAACAACACGTTCAATTTAAGCGTAGAAAATAGCGCGCTGTTTTTCTCGATTTTTGAAAAGCAGTTGAATCAAACATGAAACAAGGCCGTGGAATGGAAGTTGCAGTGAATATTATACATCGTATTCAGCCAATCTTGTGAAATTACGACAAATAACCAGTGGTGTTCACTACCTTTAATGCGTTGTAAACAGTTGGAATCGGAAAAACCTGCCAATCTTTCAGTGGGACAGAAATTGAAAAACACCACAGGAGATTTGTTCACAGGAAGATTGCCGACGCTGCGAGTTACCTTCAAACCCAGCCTTTGTCACGGCGGTTGTCGTTGATCTCAATGGGCTGTAAAGATTGAGACCTCGGTTGGGTGCCGGCAAACAGGAAGGAAAAAATGAAACTGGAGTGAATTTCTAATATTCTGTAATCATTCCATTAATTCACACTAATAAATTAACTTCTACTCCTGGGGGTCAGTCAAGAATTAAATTGCGGGCTCTGTATTATAACCGATTGAAATGATGCCCGTGGAATAGGATGTCAACATTTTCCATTTTTTTTTCTATAAAGCCTCCAGAAAGCAAAAAGGAGAAGATGGAATTAAGCGTCCAAGTAAAAATTATCATTGTGATAGACATTATAGACGGGAGTTATATGAACTTAATTATTATCCCAAGAGGGCCGTGGGTAGAACCTACCCCGATTTTTTTTCCGATATCGTCGAAATGCATTTTTTTCCGTGCCCAGCTTTCACGGGTTTTCCCAGGGATGTCTTGCAGTCATTTCGATACCACTTTTGTGAAAATCCGACATGCCGTTCTCGCGACACGCTCATTTTCGCGAGACAGGTCAGTCAAAAATCTAAACTTTTCCAGCTGAAGCGTTCAGTGCGACTCGCGTGTGGCCATGAACAGCAAATGAATGTATTGGATTGAACTGAAACTTGAAAGCTATACAACGCGCATTTGGACATGCATGCCAAGCTTTAAAAGGTTCGGACGTATGACAACCGAGTTGGGGGGGGGATCTGCCCCAGCGGCGTATGAAGCTTTTGGTGGGGTGGGGGGTGGGGACAATTCAAAAGGGAATGAGGCTTCGGACTCACTCAACATGATGATGGGGAAAATATATCACTCTTACTCGCGGTCCCAACATCCTTTTATTTTACGGTGTTGTTTTGCATTCTTACCGATTAAGTTTTCTTTGTTTAAAAAAGAAATCAGCCAGGGGGCAGGTTGCCAACCCCCTCCCCGCTGGATGGCGCCACAGAGTAAGCCCAAATATATTTCATAGGGTATACATAATGTATCATCACTCAGATGAGACTAGGCCTAGTCCTCTTACTCAACAACCATGAGACGAAAATGCTCCCATTTTCACCTTTACAAAACCTGAAAAGCTGATTACTTTTTCCAGATTTTTTTCCCGAATCTTATCTAAAGTATGAAAAACATCAGAATAACAAAATGCCCTATAAGATTGGAGTATACTTCTTTACCTTACGCCATCAAATTTACAGGCACTGGATTTTACCGACTGTTGTCGTGTGGATGCAATTTACCGGCGAAATGTACTCGTCAGGTTCCAATTTAAGATCGTGCGGTTAAGAAAAAGGACACTGATGTGAGATTCCCTGTTTGAGATGTGTACAAAAATCCAACACTATTACATGGTGCAATACCCAGAGTTATAATGACTCAAGTCAATGACTCGACTCGATTCCGACTCGAGTCACAGTTTTTGGCGTCTCGACTCGAGTCCCAACGGGTATTAAATGACTCGACTAGAGTCTCTGCGACCAACTTGACTTGACACGACTCTCTCATGGAGACTCAACTCGAGTACAAGCTTATAAGACTCGAGCCTCAAAAAAATATGAGCAAAATTTTAGTTGGTTAGATACCTGTCACCATGATATATTTTCAGTATGTCTAAATGAAAATAAAATAGTAGTTGTGGTTTTATTGTATTTTATTCAAAAAATTGTGACTCAAATTGCCTCAAGCTCAGTACGTAACTCGACTCAACTACAGAAAGTGACTCAACTCGACTGGACTTCTTGACCTGAGGACTCGACTCGAGTCACAATGTTAAAATGACTCGACTCGAGTCACCAAATTAGTGACGCGTTACGACACTGACAATACCCTTGGAAACCAGGTCAACATTTTTGCAACAATGTCTCTAAAAAGAGCCAATTTGAAGTAAAAGTTACGAATGGCACTTACACCCGTACAGATGACAACATTCACTGCTCTCTACTAAGCCATCATCACAACGAACTTGGTTACCTTCTTGCCTCGAAGCACAGACCGTGCGCACGACTGTAACACTGCCGTAATTACAACCAACAACGACCCAACCGGAAGTCGGTCTGTACATCTGTTTTCTTCGCTGTACACGGTCTGGTAAAATGATAGTATACTGTACCCCTAGTTCACAAACTCTACATGGCGTGTTTTTTCCTAGCAACGGATGGATGGGTGCTCCAACACAAAACAGCGCGAACCTTGCCCTCTGGAATTTTTTGATAATTTTTTATTGGCCCTCTCACAAAAGATACTCGGCGTCAGGCATTGTGTCCAATAGCACAAGAGAGAGAACCATTCAGATGGCCTGTCTGTTACACTCTGAAAAGCCTTTGGTTTTCCTTTATTCTATTCGTTAATCGGGCCCACCTGTATTAATTCGTAACTGTTTAACTATTTACTTATTACTGATTGTTTGAATCCTGTGGAAATAGATACACCTTAAACTTGTTTCCGGCGTGAATCTGTGAGTGGTGGGATTTTTAGCGGGAACTATTTAGTTAGGCTGGGAATATGAAAAACGCGGGATGATGGTGGATCTCCTCCGCAATATCTGAAACCTGCTTTAAGGCAGGATGGAGAAAATTGATTTTTTGGAAGTGAAAGTTTTATCATTGTTTGTCTATGGCAATTACGCTCGTTCATTACGCTTGGAGGGGAAGGAAGGTCAAACGGGTACAATCCCCTCTGCCCCGCTCGCTGATGAGTTTTTTTTTAATAGAATGCCCATGTAACGATCTCACCAACTGCCTGGTGATGTGTACACATGTGACGTGACATTTTGAGTGAAAGACATCTAATTCAGGCCTTAGGCGAAATTCGTCTGCAAAACGTTGCATTTTCAAGCAATAATTCCCCCGGACAGAAAATCGATATCGCAGTATTTGTTCACTTTTCTATACTTGTTTTCCCTGCACTTTTCTAAAAACTGTTGAAACGCATGTCAGCCTGATGTTGTACGCCCGAAGTGTTCCGCGCGTATGAATTACCTTACAACCCCGCTGTTCGTCATCTGAACTTGCATGACGTTGTAACGGGGACCGGGTACATTTTACTACAATCCTAATTGAAAATGCACCTCTGTGTTTCAATACACCTTATTTCCACGTTTTGCTTTGCTGTTTTATCTGTATTTCAAGATCTTTTGGGTTTGTATGCCAACATGAATTTGCATATTCATGAGCAAAACCGCGATGTAACCCGAGGCACTGAAACTCAACGTTGCACAGGTTCGTGAAAAAAAACAAAAAAAAAAACCCGCAATTTTTTTTTATACTTTGCTGTTGAAGCGTTCCACTTCCTTTCGCAATTCATTGTTGTGCTTACGACATTGAGGACGCCACGGTCGATGATCGACCGGCTGCTATGATGAAGTATATGGAAATAAGCCAGTGAGCAGCCTTTTCTCAGAAATGTTTTCAAAGTGCAAATTTCGGGTTCAAAATTTGAACATGACAACAGGCAAAGTGAATGGCGTCTTCCGGAATTTACAGCACATTAAACAGCGCCCTCTCCTGTCTGGAAATGCTTCGCCAATTTTAAATGTTTAAAAATGTGCACTTTATTTAAATCTCACCATCCAACAGCACATTTAGCGCCAATTACAGGATGATAATGAGTGAAAAAGACAATGAAAAAATGTTCACTTTTAGAGTTGGGAGGAAAATCCCGGATAACAGAGAGTTCAAAACGCACTAAGAAAAATTTATTACACTGTTCCTTTAAACACTTTGTGATATACGTAATGTTCCGCACACAGGGAAAGTATCACACTGGGGCTTGACAAGCTCTCCTGTCTCTGGTCAGCGAACGGTGCCTGATTAGCGCCGAACATTTCCCGTCCCCGATGAGGAAGATTCTCCCTAATCAGTCTCCGCCACCTCAGGGGAAATCAACGATTCTAACATTACCCTCCCAAACTAATAATTACCACGAGTTCCAGGTAAGCATACTTTTAATTTACTCACAGGATCCAGAGTCTTACACAACGGAGGATGCGAAATCCTGCGTTCGACAAAGCACTTTATTAACTCGGTTGTTTTTTTCTTGTATGTCATCATGTTACAAAGATTTTGCTTTAATATCTTGGTGAGCTCTGCATGGGAGTCTCCAAATCCCAGCTTCGTATTCGTCTCTGCCTTCGCCCGAGTTTTTACTCCACTGCCTGTAGTTTTAAGAAGTTATGTACTTTTTACCTATCGTAAAGATGAAACATTTACATTTTAGTTTGTTCTTTTGCCTGAAAGGGGTCGGTTCTATGAGTCCCGAGCTGGACCAACAGAGAGCGCAATTTTCTTAGCAACGGAACTGGTCCACGAACGACTAGGAGATGCGTGCATTACGGTCGCATATCGCTCCCAACAAAATGAACGCCCCCGACCTGGCTCTTTGCAACCAATGAGTGGGTGCTTCTCCTCAAGGTGGATAGACGAAGTTGAGATGAGGGAAATAGTCGGAGTCCGGGAAATTATTGTATCGTGTATGTATCATGAAAACAAAATGTTACCATAAGGCAAATGTATTTGATAAGAAAATTATTTTTTTAGGAAGACCCCGTCCTGGTAAGACCTTGGCCTCAACGCTAGCGATTAAATTTGAATTAAAACAGAGCGCACAGGAGCGCATAGGAGCGCACAGGAGAATAATGCGGGAAACGGATTTATGAGGCAATGAGTTCAGTAAGGGTTGGACATTAAAAGGGAAGCTGCAATGGAATTCTTTTGACAGAAACCTTCAAAATGTCTCCGTTAACTTCACTTTTAATGTTTGTTTTACTATTTCAAGAACTGTTTGCAGCCTTTTTGTTTTTTGTGTAAATGGGAATTCCAGTATTCACGAGTAAACGTGTGATGTCATTCTCAGGAACACCAATTTAACATTGGTTTGTGCACAGAAACTCCCACATTCTTGTAAAGATTTGGCCCTCCCAAAGGTACTCTTCTTAGGTGATTTCTTGTGTAAGTAAAAAGCAAGCAATCAGCCCTTCTTAATAACTTTTTTCATTGAGTTAATTCTGGGTTCACGATTTGAACAGAAAAACCTATGCATTGAACCCTGTCTTCCTGAAACAATGGATAATTGTAAAATAATGTTGAAAAGTGCACTTTTCAAAATTCAACCTAAGAGTGATGTCAAAATAGTCTGCACACATTGAAGAATAGTAAAATTTGGCAGAAAAACTGTGTTTGAGAGAACTTCATTGTAGCTACATTTAAGGTAAATCAATGATGCAAAAAACTGACTTCAGAGAGTACAAATCTCGCATGCGGCACAACACATTGTTGTTGTGCTAGCCAACAATTCAAATTAGAAACAGACTGCACTGGGAGCCGGTAAATGGAAAGGTGCTGACTATTCCCACATGCATAATCTCGTTCATAAAGTGGGCCAAAAGTGATGTAACTGCGTCACATTAAATTAAATAAACCCTCGGAGCCGCTACGCCAAAAAAGGGGCGACCTTTTCTCCACGTGGAGAAAATCATCACCACGTCAGGTCCCTGAGTACCCAGTCAAGCCTGAACCTGTACGACTGTTTTATGGTTGCCAATACATCCCTCACGTCTCCTCTCTCACTTATTTTCATTATGCTGCTGTGGAAGTACATTTGTAGCCACGCCCCTAATATAACTCCGAGCTGTGAGGTGGATGTATTTTACTACCAGGTTATTTCCCGGTCATATGGGCGTCTTGGGGATACTGATCTTTCAAAGGGTCTTACTCTGCAGTGGTTGGAGTCTGGCCAATGGGGGTCTACAGGCCAGTGGTGTATGCCTGGGGTGAGGAGTAGGCCCTACGTGAACTCTTTGCCAAATTGGCCTATTGAAAAAAGTTCTGACCATATTTGGTGGTATGTGGAGACTTTCATCCCCGCGGGGTTGCCACCAGTTCTCTTGAAAAAAAATGTGACCTCGACGCACTCGCCTGTCATCAAAGCAAAGGCAACCGTAACGAAAAGGTCTGATCGATTTCGAGTTCCTTGGTGAGGGAACAGGGTGGTCCTGGTGAAACCAGCTATGCCGAGCACTTCTGAGCTGGCTTTTTAAAAGTGCAAGGTCGGGACATGGCAGCTCTTCCTCGAGGAAAAACGTAGCCGTAATTGCAGCCACGGCGGTAGAGAAAAGAGAAGAGGTACTCTGACCTCCCACGTCAAGTGGCGTGATGACTTTTCTCCAGGGAATAATCGGCTGAGCTTGGATCATGGAGGAGATAATTACACCAACCACTTGACAGAATCGGCCGGCAATGCTGAATGGTGACTTGAGGGTATTAAAAGCCAGACTTACAGCAAGATACTCTGACTTGTGTTCAGCGCGTGCAGCATGCGTTTTGCATTTTAATTTCCACGCCGGTGTAATGGCCGAATGGCGCTTAACCCTAAAAAAATTAAGCTGGAGGAGAGGCGGAGACACCTCAACATTTATTTCCCGATATCGCCGCGGTACATTTTTTTCTCAAGAGCCAAGCATTTAAGAGATTTCTGTCACTCTGCGCGGTCTTTTTGACACCCATTTTGTGAAAATTGAAAATACCGTTCCCGTGCAACGCCCATTTTTCCGAGACAGGTCTATCCTTATTACAATGCACACTTTTCTACTGCCGTGCTCAATGCGCGCGGGCCGACACGCGTGTGGTCTTTAACTTCAAATGACCGTAACAAGAAAACCGCATGTCAAATTGAGTTGAAACCCCGCCTTTGTGCTGAAAAGAGAAGTTTTTACATACATGCCAAGTTAAAAAAGGGGACATGGGACAGCTTAGATATTAGGGGTGTGGAATCCAGCCCCGGCTGTGAGATGGTCCCAAATAACTGTGCTCCTTGAGAGCTAACACCCACTAAAGGTCTCGCACACGAAAGCACCACCCTTACCCGGATACCCCCTTTTTGCCAGGTTATAGGATCACGCCCCGCCAACAATTGCTACACTGCTGGCCTGTCCCAAGACCTTCTTCAAAGCCAACAACACTGAAACGCGGTGTTATTTGCGGCACTTTGCATGATAATCGCTCCTGTCTGATCCTTTTTCGTTTTCGTCATCCGCTCTGGGATGTGCACTCGAGCTTTAGCACAGTGTGTAGACTTTGCATTTGCGAGTACCAGGTCTCCGAGGCTCCCAGGGAAATGGTAATGAGCAGGCGTGTATCGTACCATGGACTGCTTGGCAGCCAGAGTTGTAATGACCCCACTCACTCAAGTCCGGACGGGTAAATGACTCGAGTCGCATCCCTGCGTGCATCCCTCATCAGAAGACTCAACTCGAGTGAAATAAGACCAGAAACCCCCAAATAAAAGCAAATTTCTTCGGGAAAAAATTGCAATGAATGACAGAGCCGGTTTGTATTGTTCATGTCATCATTATTGTTAAGTGCGATGTCGTGTTACCAGAAAGTAGTTGAACCCACAGGTGAATTTAAAAATGCCACAAAAATGACTTTCTGTCTTGTCTGTATTTATCGTACTGTGTTCAAATACGTGTGTTAACTTTCTGACCCAAATTGGCTCGAGCAAAATACTTGATTCAACTCGACGTTTTGCCTATAATGACTCGACTTTAGTCATTACGTTACAATAACTCGACTCGAGCAGTGTCACTACGTTACAATGACTCGATTCGAGTCACAAATCTTAGTGACTCGTTACAGCTCTGTTAGCTGCACCACATTCCAACTCCCTAGCCTCAGAGAATCCCAAACTATACTGAAATTCTGCAATTAGCATATGGAAAAAGAATATAAGCCAATCTGCCGTTGCAAACAAAGGGACTTGCCTGTCTAGAATCAACTCCGCTTGGAAATGGGTGTGACCGAAGTCGTTAATGTCAGTCAGAGAAGGAACAGCGGCAGTGTGGCCACGTGACGGCCCCTCACCAGCAAAATGTGTGACATTTAGCATGTAGGCACGTCATGCGACGTCACGAGCCAACCAACCAACCAACCAATAAGCTTGATGAATGGTAGAGAGAATTGTCTACGCACACAGCAACACAAGAAATGTCTGGCACAAACGGGGTCTAGAGATTCGACTACGTCTACTGTCACGGTGTCCTCGAGTATCTGAAGTGAGTGAAAGACCTAGACCTAGCCCTAAACAACAGATTCGGACGCAGCTTCAATGCCAGAGGACGGAAGACCATTTTCTTTCAGTGCTATTCCAATAGCGCTTCCTCGCCAATTTAAAAAGCAGCACTCGTCGATTCACGTGAGACCTTGAGCTGACGATAACCAAATCGCAAGAGAGTGTCAGGCGTTATTCAGATGTCGCCAACTGTGACGTCGATCCGTCCGGGATAATGAGCGACGAGAAGAGGTTCTTAAATCTCAACTGCGCAATCTCACTCACTGGCCGTCTTTTTTATACCAACCAGTAGTTGTCGCTGACGACAACTGACGATAGTTCCACCGACTGCTGACACTGCCTTCGCACTTGGCATTTTGCGCACAGAAGAAGAATGAGCGGTGTGGAGACAACGCCCGCGCGGACCTGGGCGGGTGAACCCCCCGGTAGCATGATCTTGATGCCCGCCGAGGAAGACCGCCCTGCGGGTAGTTTGCCAGAGAGCCAACCTCACTGGGAGGTTCCATTCCTCGCCACCGTGTGCATCTTCGGAGTTCTTGGGAACCTGACGGTTCTCTCTGTCTACAGTAAGGCGGCTTTCCGACGCTCGAACGCCGCGCTCTACATTCTCAATCTAGCCGCAGGTAAATGTATTTTATTTCACCTCATATCCACCAAAGCACATCGTCAAATAGGAGCTCTGTTTAAGAACATCCTTTTAAAAGCGAGCAATTACTGTGCAACTTCCAATCAAACGTTGGTCGAAATACTGAATGCCATAGTATAGTTGGTCCCTATACAGCACCTAACTGCGAGGATTTCACCCTGCAGTCGGTATATGAGGGTCACAATTTAATGAACGCCTTGTACGAAACGCTGTAGACCCCCAAGGGGGGTTAAACACGCACTCTTCGGTTTAAACCGGTACTGGCTTGAGAAAAAGTCCTTATCTGTGGCAAAGGAGTCTTCAGCAACCTTAAGTTTATACATAAAACCGGGGCTCTACTCATACGAAATCTTTGTATTGTCTCTGATAAAAACCAGCAAAATAGAAAAAAAAAATCATCCGAAGGATATATTGGTTGGAGCAAAGAGTTTTGACTTCGCTTTCATTTTGGAAGAGGTGGGCAATCTAATTGCACATATTAAAAATTAACCTTATGCTAAATACAGAGCTTAACAGTTGGAAAATGTGTAAAAAATGTGTTGGTTAAATTGTCTACAATGAGGAAAATTCCAACTTCATTGACTTGTTTTCTTGGCCTCTACACTGCTCATTAATACTTTTTGGTGTTATCAGCTGACCACATAAAATGTGCTAGCTTAAGACCGCTGGTGTTACTTTTCACACCTACAGATGTACCAATGTACTGGAGAGTGTTAAAAGTAACACCAACGGGTTTAAAATAACACCCAAAATTTTAACACCGGTGGAAAGTGTTGGCATATAGTCGTCTGAAAACATCTTTTAAAGCCTGGTTTGTGCAGTGTAAATGATGTAAAAAGGTGAAATTAATTGAACATTAAAGTGGGCGTGAAATTACAGTATAGTTGTGAAAAAGACGGCGCAAACTACCTCTATATAAAAGAAGTGCACATTTGGAAATTGTGAAATGAGAACGAAGTAGAACGCGATTCCTATCTGAGCCAACTCTTCAACCCCAAGCTTAAAGGCGCCTTTCCATATGTACGTTTTTGGGTGCGCTGCGTATAGGCCTACACGATGCATGTATGCGTTTCCCTTTCACGGACACAAAAGTCGACTCCATTATTAATATAAAACACGTGTGCATTTTTGCGTTTCCGGGGCAACTTGGACGAATACGCAATTAAACGCTTGGCACAAGTGTCCATGCGCATATGGAAAGGCGGCTCAATGCCTGAAGAAAAATTGCGTCAACTTTCAAACAACAATAACCATGTTTCGCCGCAAATTGATTATCCTGCGGCGTATACTCAGCAGCTGTTGATGCACATTATGTTTATGGAAAGGCGCTTTATTAACAGCATGTCAAGTCAAAACAGGTCCTGTAGCAAATATATAATTATGCCTGCAGACATGGCTGGAAAGCGGTTGATTTTTGCTCTCTTCAGTCTTTCCAAATCTTAATTAATAACATAACCGACGTGGAAGGTTGAGAGACACCGTGCAGTCTGAGACAAACGCGACATTTAAATAGAAAAAAAAGAATGCTTTTTATTTATTTTTATTGATTTATCACAAAAACGATTGCTTGTTTGTAGGTTTCACTGCCATAGCCAGAAAGCATTCAGGCCTACGCTTGAACCGGAAAAAACCGTATTTCAGGCCTTTAAGACCGTATCACCGAGGGGGAAACGTCCTTTTGAAATGCCCTCCTGACAAGGGCGTAATGGTGTTCATGTATAAAACGCGCAGAAATGGCAATAAAACAAGAGTCTATGTGACTTAATGGATTCCACATAGGCCTAGTGAAAATCCATGTGATAATTTTGAAACCCACATCGACAGTGACGGATTGAAAACTTAAGTCGCCGAGCAACGATTGGCTGCCTAAAGAACGTTAAATCCAATGAGCACAGCAACAACAGCAGCAGCAAAACAGCAGCAGCAACAGCCACCAGCAGCAGCAGCAGCAGCCCACCACCAAACAACAACGGTAGCCACAGCTACATCAGGAACAACAATAACACCAGACAAAATACATTAACGACAACAAACTACACGGGACGTGTTTGTTTAATTACAAACACGTGGCGACCGGGAGATATCGATTCCCAGTTTCCTAAGAATTATGACGCAAAATCTGTTTGCCACGTTACTGGAAAATCTGTTTGGTCTCATGATTCGTGGAAGGTAACATCGTTGGAGTACGTGTGTATTATGTCTGTTTTGAACAGAACAAAGGGCTTTTGCAGAATATCATATTCAGGAGAAGACAAGTGCATCTGTTCCTTGTAGAAATGTCAGGTGCACATTTTCAGAATGGATTCTGCAATTGAATGTCCAAACTGACAAAAGATGACGCGATTGTGAAATCATGGAACCTATTACTGAAAAGAGCATCGTATATCATCTTGGTTTGGAAAGGATATCAGTTAAGAGCCGACTAAAGGCCTGCTTTAGACGTCGTGCTCATGCCGAGTCGAATAATATCGAATTAATAAGCACGGCAGACGTCGAACGTGATTCCATACGCCCATTTAAACTTAATTGAATTCCATGTGGTGGACATAAACAACAAAACCATGATTTTGTAGTCTTATTCAATCACTTCACTCAAGAACTTTACTCCTGCAGGAAAGCAATACTTGCGTACCTTGTAATCCCTTTGCTGTGATAGCCCTATGAGAACGTAACGGTGCCTCCATCCTGCCGATCAATGTCTCATCGGCTCTGGTTCGATTTCATTTCGTTAGGTGTCATTCGGAATTCAGGTCCAAGAAAATATTTCGAGGTTCAAAGTCCACCCTGACTTCACTATATCTCACATAAGGCAAGAACTTGAAAGAGAAACAGTAACCCAAACCCAACTTCCCCCGAGGAACGATAACAATCTGCCACTGAGTCTTGAGAACTTTCCGGGTAAAGTTGCGTTAGTTTGTCGATCATTTCTTTACTCCATACGTTTCGAACATGCGCATTCCTAATCATGAGCGATGTTGAAGTCCACTACTTCGAACTCGACACGGCATGAGCACGACGTTTGAGACGGGCCTAAGTATATCAGTCATCAAGATTTCCGTACAGTTCTCGTTGCTTGCAAAACTAGTCAGTTTATTTCTTCACTTTAGACAGTAAAAACAAGTATTAATGTACACCTTTTAAATGCCTTCCTGGCAACTTTTTACGAACTTGTTTTGGTGTTTATACATTTAGAAACAAAAACACATTTGGGTTTTAATAAACAGACACAAAAACACGTTCACCCGGTGGTAATACTTTCTGAAAACACATTTACACGTATTTCAAAAAGTTGTTTAATTTCAAAGGTTACCTGTTTACCGCTAACGCAAAGATGCGTTTATAATGGGCGTTGGTTCCCATGGGGTTCCACCCCCCAAGCAATCAAAAGACGCCGCTGGTGGCTAGAGACACGTTCAAAAACGTTTTATCGATCGGCCGTCAATCACTGCCCGAATTGCAGCGAGGAGTTTTTTGTTAGGTTGGTTTTGTTGAATTATTTTCCGCGAAATATTTTTAACTGCTAAATTGATTTCTGGATTCACAAATCCATTAGAGGGGTGACCTTAACACGTCCATGTTTATTTCCCTGGTTTGAACAAGCTTTTATATAATAGAAAATCTGTTATTTCGACCTCCAGATATCTGTTTTAATCCAACGAAGTGGTAAATTTAATACAATATCTGCATGGTTAATTCTCCTGCTTTTAGTGAAATCTTCTGTTTAAAATGACAATTTGTGGGGAAAATAGTTTTTCCCATTTTTGAATATACATCAGATTCATTAAAAGATTAATTTTGATGCGATTTCCATTTATCCCTCTTTCTAAAGAATATTTACTACATAAATATTAAGTTTATTTCTTCAGCGCAAAATCACGAAAAGCAAAAGAAACATCCTGTTATGAGTAACATGAATCAATTTGAAAACAAAACATGAGACTCCTGTGACTTTTTGGAGATGGATAAATATTCGAAGATGCCGGTGTGGAAGGGCGTCCTACACTGTCAAAAGAAGGGTAATGTTTCAACACCTTTCAACGAGCCCAGATCGACGAGCTCACATCGACGACGACAATAAAATGGTGAATCCTCTGCGAAACCTACCGAATTCTCTCTCCCTCGATCTCTCTCGTCTGTACTGAATTTAAGACGATTTAATTTTGTTGCAGTTCGTTTTCGAAGTATCTGAGCCTGCAAAATGTGACGAGAGCAGTGGCTTTGCCGTGGGGGGGGGGGGTTGCCCGCCCCCGCGGGAACTCTTGCACCTCAAACTGCTGAGAAGAGCCTAGCTATGTGGCCAGGGGGGGGGGGCAAATTTCCCCACCGCTGAGAAGGGCCTGACGTCAGCGAACAAGAATGACCACAACAAAGATCTGCCCGTGTCCCAGGTTATTTATGCCAAATATGCCAAATATTCAGCGCACGCACGACCGGCTCTTCCAAGCACAATTGACGAAGTAAGAATTTGAAAAGTTGGTATTATTTTCGGTAATGTTGACACGAATTTTTGTGTAGCGTAATAATGGAAAGACTGACAAGTCAGCCTTTTCCCCCGTTGGGGGGAAATCACTGTATTTACGAACCCGATGAGATCTTGTACGGGAAATTTGGTAAAATAATTAGTATGTGAGCGAAAGGTTTCGACAAACTGTGACATAATACTTGGGGCAGAATATTACGACCCCAACCTCGCCTCTGTTCATAACTATCTGCTCTTCTTGACCAATCAAAAAGAGGCACTAGAAAGGATCAACTAGTCTGGCTTGCGATTACACCATGTATAAAACTCAGGAGAATGCCAGATCCTGTTGTTTTGTTTTAATGGCGCTTTCAGCTACTCAGGTTATTTGCGCCAATAACTATGCGTTTATTCATGACCTTTGTTAATCAGCATCATATTACGGAGCTAGGAAGAAGGTCCAGTTTTAGAGGCAGGAGGAAATCGGGGTACGCAAGAAAACCTTCCAGAGCGAGTGT